AACTGCTCTGTGGGAGGAACATGAGGCAATCTACTTCTGTAAAGATTTACAGCCTTGGACATCCAACAGGTTGCTATGACTTGATGGCAGTGGGTTTGGGTCTTTATTATTATTCACAATATCTATAAGGTAGAAACACTCTAAATGCCCGTCAACAGATTAATAGATAAATAAAATTTCATGCATACAATGGAATACTACTCACCCAGTAGGAAAAATGAATTCCTGATACATGCTACAATATGGATGCAGCTGGAAAACATGCTGAACGAAATAAGTCAATCACAAAGAGACAAATATTATATGACCTTATTATATAAAAAGACAAGAAAAGGCAAACATATAGAAAGCAAATTTTATTAGTGGTTACCAAGGGCAGGAGGAATGGGAGATAAGAGGGCTAATGGTGATGGAAATATAATGTTGATTAAGGGTAGATTTGCACAGCTGATTAGTCATTGCTGTCAGTAAGTTGTACACCTGTGAAAAGTTGAATTGGCAAAAGTTTTGTGATAGATATATTTACAACAATGACCACAAAAAAAAAAAAAAAGTAGCCCCTGAGGCTGCTTATGTACAACCAAAACCCTCATGAGATTTGGTTTCTTGATTCAGAGGTTTAGGGTCATGATTTCATGGGACATTCCAATTAATTGGCCTAATAATTTGCTTAGTGCTTCTGTTCTGCCTTCTTGTTCAATGTGTAATGCCTGGGGTCTTAAAAGCTTGCCAGTGGCCATCCAAAGCACAATTGGTCTAGATTCATCTGGAACAACAGAGGAAGGAGGATCAGGAATAGGAGGAGGATATGGTATGAGTGATTGTGTCCATGTGCAGCTAATGAGACAAAAAGAACTGGATAGTACCATTACTGAACATTTTGATCACAGATTTCATAGAAGAATCCTGATTAAAAGGGGGAAAATGTAGAACTCAACTCAACAAACTCACTGCTGTCGAGTTGGATCTGACTCATAGTGACCCCTCCTTGGGTTTCTGAGGTGCTATCACTATGGAAGTAGATTGCCCAACCTTCCTTCTGAGGTGTGGCTGGTGAGTTTGAACCACCAGCCTTCCGGTTAGCAGTCAAATGCCTTAGGCACTATGCTACCAGAGCTTCTACATGTAGAACAGAATGTCAAATCATCATGGACTCCAGACTTCTCTGAAACTATTGCTCTGAGATAATCTTTAAACCTTAAACCAAAAATATCTCCTGAAGTCTTCCTAAAACCTAACAGTGGTTTCACTTAACTCACAAAAAATGTGTCTTGAACACTATGCTCTTTTAAGAACTATATGTATAAGATCAAATTGACAGCAGCAATTTAAAAGATATGATAAGAAGAATCTTAAGGAGCAGTGAGTTAATGGTAAAGGAACAACTCAGAAAAGGAGGATGAGAAAAGTTACACAACTCAAAGAATATAATCAATGTCACTAAATTGTACAGGTATCAACTGTTGAATTGGTGTATGTTTTGCTGTGTATATTCTCAATAAAATACATTAAAGACAAACCCAAAAGCTTTAGAAGGTCCTAAATTACTGTGTTTAATCACATTTTTATAAAGTTCAAAACTTCTACTTTAAAAAATGATGTTTGAGAAATGTATTTCAGCCATAAAAGCTAAAGCACTTGAGTCACAAAAGAGACAGTAGAACAGGTAGGAGGGAAAAAACCCAAATGAATGTACTCAGTTTATTTGGGGTCAGAAGTACCTCCTGGGCTCATAGATCTTGTCATCTATCACTGAAAAATAATGCTGTGCCCCACACATTTTCTGCTCCTAACTTCACCTCTCAGCTCTATGTCATTTTATTATAGAATTAACATAATTTGGGGCATTGCCATCAGATGTTTGACATTTTCACCAGTTATGAAATTGAGAAATCTGTGAGAAGGAACCCCAGGAAGTATGAAATAATTAGAAAGCTCAGAATGAAGATTTATTTCATTTCTTCTCTGTGACCCCAGGTTCCAGTTGGGTTTTTTGTAGTTTGTTTGTTTTTTAAAATGTTTTTCTTATGCGTTCAACCCACCCATCCATCTAATGAGGAAACATTTCAAAAATAACTGAAGATGGTGATGTCCAGAGCTCCAAGAGCAGGGAAATGTAAACTTTGGCATTGTCAGTGCTAGGCTGGCAGAGCCCCCTGGCCTTCAGTAAGCCACCGTATCCCAACATGGCAGCCCTGTGGTGTATGCCATGCCGACCTCCCTGCTCGGTTTTGTATGGCTCTTTCCCCTTGTAGGGCAGTCCAGTTCTGAGGCTGTCAGAATGTGGGCCAAATCCATCCCTCCTGGGATCTCAGTCTTTACTGAGCTGAGCCCTCCTGAGGAAGCAGCTCTGCTCATATACATTGATATTCAGCTGCATGGATTTCCTTAGAGAAAGGGGGACAACACCCTGAGAATGTTGATCCCAGTTACCAGTGTTGTTGTTCCCTGGGCAGCCGTGATAGGGAATTAGATGATTAAAACCATACTACTGAAGAACACTGACCTGTCATTTTTGTCCTTACAGGGAGGGCTTACAGCATCTTGCCTTTTCGTGTTTACATTTCTTCATTGCGTTTTCTTTTGTTTCTAAGCATGTCTACATTTTTGATGAGTGCTGTTTGGTTTCTGGTGGCCATAGGTGGGGCAAATGGCTAATGAATGTACTTGACTTAACTGAAGGGTTGCAGTTCAAGGCCACCCAGATGTGCCTCAGAAGACTGGCCTAGTCATTTACTTCAGAAAAATCAGTCATTGAAAACCCCTATGGAATACAGTTCTACTCTGACACACATAGGGTATGAGTCAGAGTAGACTCCATGACAACTGGTACTATTTGGCTTCCATTCAGAAAACATGAAAATGGGCAACAGGGGCTGCTAATTGGTATTAGTGATGTCCCACCCTGGGCCACTCTCTCCAGTGCTTCTGAGGCCCAGAGGCCACCTGGTAGGAAGGTTCTGCCCTGGCTGAACCCAAGGGGTACCCCGATACTCATGAACTATGAGGAAGGCAACAGTGTTGATTTTGGTTCTCTTATGCAACTTTATATGGTCACAAATAGGCAGCACACATTGAGTCCCTCATATGTGCCTGGCATGTACTGGTTATAAACAGAAAGATGAACCAACATGCTTCTGCCCTCAGGGTCTCAGAGATAGCTGCAGTAGACTCACAAGTCAGCTGGGCCTACAAATGCCTCAGAATAGGAGGTAGGAGAGGGGTTTTTGAGGGAGAGCTCTATTCAGAGTCTATGTAGTACAGAGTTCTATAGTATGAGAGGAGTTCATGAAGCAGATGGCATTTGTCCTGCCCTTAGAGTGGGACCTTGAGATGGGAGAAGGCCTACTGGGACAATTGTTCCCGAGGGAGCACCATGTGAGGCATGTGGAGGGCTATGTATGGGTAACATGGGTCTCGTCCACATGGTTGGCATGAAGGGTGTAGGAGAGTTCCTTGGACACACACCTGGGCAAGGTGTGTTGGGGTCAGATTGGGAAAAGTATGTGGGCCAAGCTGAAATACTGGTATTGTTCCCAGAGATATGACTAGATAGTTCTGCCTTTCATTATTTCATTCTGTAAAATGGGTCACAACAAAGTGTATACTACAGGACACTCAGTTAAATTTGAATTTCAGGTAGGCATTGAGTCGTTTTTTAGTATAAGTCTATTGCAAATGTCTCATGAGACAGAGTTTTCTAAAAAATTACTCACTGTTTGTCTTCTTCAAATTTAACTAGGCATCTTGCATTTTTATTTGCTAAATCTAGCAACCTAAAAGATCACCACAGGGCAGGATATATTGACCTCCCTAAGTGTTACCCTTGGATTCCTTGTGGGGATTATTTGTATGGTTATCTTCTCTTGAAAATAAGACCTTCTGGAGAATTTTGAATTGGTCCTCTCTTCTTCTGTATACTTCCCTGTAGCAAGCAGAGGATCCAATCACTTTGGTGCAAAGTATGGTATTTATGTATATTAGAGGATATGAATGTTTGAAATTCTAATCAAGGAATTAAGAGCTTGAGGAAAAGGCAGCTTGAGAATCTGAGACTTGAGTATTTTCTTTCTTCTTCTTTTCCCTCCCTTCCTCCCCATGCAGAGTGGGGATGGTGGAAGTGGGACAGTCTAGGGAGGAAGAGGAAGGGGTGATCCCATCCTTTTCTTTGGTGGTGTTTTAGAGCCATGTGGTTATATGTAAGTACTACAGCTGCCATATCTGTAGGATTTCTGTAAACCACAGCAGAAAAGATACTCAGATTCCTAGAAAGCACCATGACTCATGCCCACTTTGATTTTCTTTGGGCCAAGATAGGATCACTTTTCCTTCCAAACATGGCACTGAGATGACTCATGTAAGTGTGGTTTCACTGCATCAACCTGTGGGTAGTCAGTCATGGCTGGCAGGACCCCCATGGAAGCAAGTACATCCTGGGCTAGCCCCCTTCTTGTCCCCACCACCCTGGCTGGGGCTGAATGCCCTATTTAGAGGTGTCTTCCTACCTCCTTTCCCCTTGCTCTGCTGTTCCCAGCCTGGTAGAAAACTCTTTTTCAGATTGACAGTATTGACCCCAAACCACTGCCACAGATTATGACTCCTAGCAACCCTATAGGACACAATAGAACTGCCCCCACAGAGTTTCCAAAGCTCTAATCTTAACAGAAGCAGACCTTATCTTTGCCCTGCAGAGCAGTTGGTGGTTTTGAATCACTGACCTTTTAGTTAGCAGCCCAATGCTTTAACCACAGTGCCACCAGAGCTCCTTTCATTGACCCCAGCACAAAAGTAAACCATGCATTGGGCAGTTGAAAATTAACATGAGGTTTAGAGCAGGAGTTTTGAGATAGGGCTTTTAAGTAACTATTCCTGCACCCCTCACTGTGAGGATGATGCAAGGGAATGATACCCTGTCATGGATGACTACTGTTTTGTACTTAATTTGTGAGTATACTTGCTAGTTCACTTTTCTGACTTTGGCCTTCCTGTCCCCAATCTAGGGCTAGTTGCGATAAAGGACGCCCATGATATTGAGACCAGGCTTAATGAGGTGGAAAAGCTTCTCAAGGCAATCATCAGCATGCCGTGTAAAGTGAGTATGATTGGGGCTAGGGAAGGAGGTGGGAGGTGTCGTCCATCTTGCAGAGTTAGAAAGGATCCATCCTCCCAGTCAATCTGCCCACTCCATCTCACTCTCTGCTTTGCTTCCTCCCTGGAATTGCTAGAGAATGGGAATGCTGAAGGGGTAGAAGGTGTTGTAATCAGAGGAAAGGAAAACTTTTATGAGTTCCACTGCCTCTTTTTTCCTTCCTAGGGAAAAGGTGGAAATGAGGTGCCCAAGGAGGCACTGAGTAAGGCAGGCATGGAGTTTCCCTGGCGTTAGTGGTATTTGCTCAGGATCCTCTTACTGAGAGGATTCTAGACCAGGTGCGTGGAAGCCGTGGTGTTTGCACCAACCCCAGTAGACAAGGCTGCCATGGATTTGCCCACCAGCTCCCTTTCAGAGGAAGTTTGTGAGCTTGTATTGAATCATAATCAAGAACTTGGACTTGCGTGTCAGGCAGACCTATCTAACACCTTTGAGTTTCCATATCCTCATGTGTAAATGGGGAGAATAGACTCAGCCCAGGCTCATAGTAAAGATGAAGGGAGAGTGTGTATGCAAAACACCTGACACATGCAAAACACCCAGGAAACAATTGATGCCATTTCTATTAACCACATCCTATCCTGAGGCCTTCCATGTTGGCCATATGATGCAGTGGAATCATTAATAAAGTGAAAATGTGTAATGATGGCAGCCTCACTGTGGTCAGTCTTGCAGAACGGGTCTGTGCCAGGTGCCTTGGTACCAGGTGCTGCTCATGTTCCCCTCTGTGGCAGTGTCCTCCATGCACACAGAGGGTACCAACACATGAGAGGTATTAATTTCTAGTAATGAATGTATTTCTTCCTAGTACTCCAGGTCAGAAGTTGTGCTCACCTTCTTTGAAAGATCCCCTCTGGATCAAGTGTTAAAAAATGATAATGTCCACAAAATTCAGCCCAGTTTTCAAAGTCCAGTGAAAATATCAGGTAAGTGCTACAGTGGCAGTATGGGAAGGTACTGCATTGAAGGCATGGTTTCCCAGAAACTTCTCTAGTTTGTTGTCTGCATGGTTGGGCATACCTACTCTTCGGATATTCAAAAACAATTCAACAGAATATAGAAGTACTGGGTGAGAGACTATAATACCTGATTTTTATTGAACAATGTATTTTCTACCTACCAACCTGCAGTTTATACTTTTTCTACTTCCAAAGGAATTTACTTGCCATATGAAATGGAACTTCCTTAAGAAATAATATAATGATGAAAAACATGAATGCAGCATTTTGAAGAGAATTACTGGAGTCAGTCTGTGTAGCTTGCAAGAATAAACTAGTTAGTATAATCTGGCTTTGAATTTGGTTTTTGATTTTGGGGCAGCCAGGATAAAAAGGGAAGTATGGTTCAGATATAGCTATAGTTGACACTGGGAGCTCTGGTAGCATAGTAGCTAAGGCACTTGACTGCTAACCAGAAGGCTAATGGTTCAAACCCACCAGCCACTCCTCAGAAAGAAGATGAGGCAATCTACTTCCGTAGTGATACTGCCTCAGAAACCCAAAGAGAGGTCGCTATGAGTCAGGTCCGACTCGATGGCACGTAACAACAACAACAACATAGTTGACACTGGACTGTGCCTTCTAGCACTAAAGAGCCAGAGGTCCAGCTGCTTTGGTGAGGGCAACAAGAACATCAACATCAACAGAGAGGACTGTATGACCCAAGGTCTAGATGAATAGGAAGGGGACATTGCTCTGTTTGACACCTTTATATAAGTTCTGGGTTGCATGTATCATTAGAATATTACACTTTCATTTTTTGTGGAGCTATTTTGATGAAGGCTGTGGAGGAATATTTTCTAGGAAGAAAGAGCACTGTCCTGGGAGTATCAAATACTGGGTTGCCATCTGCATCACTCAGCAAAGGGAAGCCAGCTTTGTTTTGGCCAAGGAGGTGACATTTGAGTGGGGACTTGCAGGGGTTTTCCAGGGAAGAAGAGAGGGAGGACAGTTAGAAGAGGAGACACAGCTTTATTCAATGTGAGATCCTATGCAGAACTTTGAACCAGGTTCATTCCCATTTGACCCACTGCTGAGAGTTTGCATTTTCACCCCAGATATGGCCTACATTTTGACAAGATCCCCGGTTGAATCTTACAGATCCCCAAGATTCACATGGAGATCTTGTTGAACTGTAAATTCTGATTCAATATGTCTGGGATAGAAATGAAAATTCTCAGCAGGGGGTCTAAGTAGAATGAACTGGTTTGAATGGTTGGAAGCCCGGATCCTACATAACATCTTGGTCTGTAGGAGGGAGGGAGGGGGCTTTCATGTCCTTCATCTCCTCTCTGAATAGAGAAGGAGTAGGACTCTGAAGGAAGTTGATACAGAAGAATCAAGAGATGAGAGTATGCTAAGGCCAGAGTTGCCTGCTGAGAAGGAATCTCAGCAGGTTGTGGTGCTGGAGAGACAGAACACACTGGGAGGCAACGGCTGATACTGCTGGGGCACAAGTGTCCTTCTGAGTTATAAAATTCCTAACTGCTTCGTGACCTGGGCAGGCTGGACAAGTGTTGGGAACCTGGAGTGGGTCAGATACTTTTAAAATAAGAGTGTGTGCGCACAGGATGCTATTAAGATAGGCTTTGTCTGTGTCAGTACCTTTGAGACCCACTCGAGATGGTGGTCTTAAAAACATGAGTAGGCGTCCACTATCCAGAGCCTTCTTTATAAGACAGTGAAAATGGCATAATCATTTATCCAGATTGCATATGGGCCTTCATTGTGGAGGACTCAGAGAGGACTCCAGAATCCCAGTTGTGCATTATTCTGAGTTTTAAACTCTGACTTGGAGCAAATAGACACCGCTCTTCTTCAGTCCTGACCCCAGTTCTGGTGTCTCTGTCCTAACAGTGAGAGAATGGAAGAGCAGGCAGCAGCTGGATCCTTTTGGAGCCTTATATTACTAGAGGAGATGACCCTCGAGGCAGAGTGTCAGAGGGCAGAGTATCACTGGATGGGCTGCTTCTGGTTGAATAACTGCTCAAAGGGAAGTGACCCTGGAACATCCTCCAAGCTTCTATCTAGTGTCATACTTTTATCAATTCCTTGGATAAACGCACAACCTATGTTTATCCTAGAGGCTGGAAGGAATGAAAAGAAACCCAATAGGTCAGGGAAAGTGTAGAGCTTTGTTAGGTTTTGGATATATTCTTCACATCCTTTTGCAAGGACTGAGGACAGAAAATTTAACTTTACTGGAAACCTCTTGTATGTTTGTGAGCCTCCATGTGACCTTACATGCATGACTAGAAGCATGAAGATATAGAACACCCCAAGCCATCCAGGGATGGGGAGGGGTCAGTAGACTATGGTGGGAGAAGAAGAGTGGAAGGAAATGGGGGTGACTGGCCAGGAGAAGACAAGATGCAGCAGGGGACAGGGATTATCATCCTCAGAAATGTGGAGGTCTGTGTGTGTGTAAAAGAGTCATTCTGTGTTGCAGGTGCTGGCTAGGGTGGATGGTACAGTAGGTTAGCTTGGGCTCAGCATAGAATATTTATTCTACTGTGGAGTTTCTAACAGTGACATTAGCAAACAGTCTCTCACAAGGTAGCAGGGTGGAGCCTCTCACCTCCTTTCCAGAGCTTGAGCCCCCTGACTCATCAGGTTATCTTCTCCTCGTTGTCTTGGGGATTCTCCATGTGAAGACCTCCAGACCTTCCATCTTTGCTCCCACATTAGCCAGTCCCTCACTGTCTAAACTGGTGCTTCCTGATATTAAAGTAGTGTGTGTGTTGGGGGGTGGTTCCCTCATGATAGAAGTTGTACTTTTATTATTCATTGAGTGAGGGAAAACATGGAGACAACAAACTACAGTAAATCCAGGAATGCTTTTTTTAAAAAAAAAAAAAAATGAGAATAGTACCTATGATAGTACCTACATATCTTTGAGAAAATAATTCACATATGAGAAAGTCATATCATTCAATTCTCATCCCATATTTGGTGTGTATGGATTTGTGGGTCCCCAGGGTCTGAACCTCAGACTCTGGAGCCCACATGTATCACCTGAGAATACCACAGGTCTTTATCAGCCTCTGTTTTCCCTAGAATAAAATCTGCATACTGATGCCAAATTCTGATTATATACGCACAATCATTTTCATAAGACCTACAAACTTTTAACCTTACTAACAGGATAAAGCCCAAATCCCTGACTTGTTCTAGATGGATCAGCATTTTGTTTTTGCCTTTGTTACCTATAGCACCCTCTGCTCCAGACCCTTGGCCTTCCCAAGCCTTGTTCTTGCTGGGCCCCATGGGCTGCCTGTCCATTCTCCTATCCTGATGAATTCTATCCATTCCCAGAAACTCCTTGGACCACTGCTGCAACTCACACTAGCTCCCTCCCAACCCTCCGCCCAATTTTCTTAGTGTCTTCTTTTGCCCTGATGTGACATTCAGAGGACATGGCACTGACCTGGAGGCTGTTGGGGCTCTAAGTTCAGTTCAGTGTGGATTGAGGCTCTCAAGGCCTTTTCTCTTTCATGGGTTACAGTCCGAGGTTCCACCAGATGGCGCTAAGTGTAAGCTAGTGGACTAGTTCATGCCAAGAGCACCATTTTAACACCTTGGGGCCACATCAAGGGCAATAAGGAATGCTGTGGCCTCTGGTTATGCTTTGGACCAATGCAACCTTTAACATACTAACCTATATGGTCATCAGATCTAAAAAACAAAAGTTTGAAGTTTCCTCCATTGTGGTGTGTCTGTGTGATATAAAAGGAAGTATAAACCTCAGCCTTTATCTGGCTACTTGGACTAATCAAGTTTGGACACAACATCTGATCATTCCAGTTTGAGGAACTTGGAAATGAATTATCATTTTGTTTTTCATTAATCAAGCAACTATCCAGTCTCAATCCTAATTTGTACTCTACAAGGACAGACCAGTTAGTAGTTAATAACAAGGCGTTGTTTTAGGCTTTGTCCTATTCCTGAGATGCACTGAAAGTATAGTGAAGGAGGGGCTTGGTAAGGAAGGAAAACTCTACTATGAATACTTTGAGGGCTGAGAGTAAATGTTTGCTGAAAAACATGAACATATGAATTAATGAAGAGATGGTGGCATGAAGAGTATATAGAAACATAGCAATAGTTACACACAGAAGATAGCCATTAGGCAAACGCTGCAGTAATAGTAATGGCAAAAAAGATCCCCTGGGGGATGCTAAGATTAGTGGATAAAAGTTTGCAAAGAAACAGTTTTGTATATTCTTAGAGTATCTCCCTTAAGATATTTATTAACTCCATAGCTTAGTTAAGTCACTTTCTGCATTGTAAGGTTATTATCATTCCTATGTATTTAATAAGGAGCTCTGGTAGTGTAGTGCCTAAGGCACTTGACTGCTAACCAGAAGGCTGGCGGTTCAAACCCACCAGCCACTCCTTGGAAGGAAGGTTGGGCAATCTACTTCCATAGTGATACCGCCTCGGAAACCCAAGGAGGGGTCGTTATAAGTCAGGTCTGACTCAATGGCACGTAACAACAACAACAACGTGTAGTTAATAAATATCTTAGGGGAGTGATCAAGGCCAACATTCTAGTGATAAGACATGTTAACATGATACCAACATGACCCTTCGTGCATCATTTATTTGAGCACTTAAAAAAAGAAGTCCTAAAAAAGCTGTACAAAGTTTAAAAAGAGAGAAAACCATTTAGCTCCAACAAATGCTTAGATAATGATGCACTCAGGAGGACACAACATCATTTCTGCGATGTTCTTGCCAAAAATGCATAACCTTGTTCTAATTATGAGAAAACATCAGACAAACCCATCCTGAGGGGCATTCAGCAAAGTAACTGAAGTGGTTCTCTACAAAAGGAGTCCCTGAGTGGTACAGTTAACATGTTTGTTGCTAACTGAAAGATTGGAGGTTGGAGTCCACCGAGGTGCCTCGGAAGAAAGGCCTGGCAATCTACTTCTGAAAAATCAGCTATTGCAAACCCTATGGAGCATAGTTTTACTCAGATACACGTGTGGTTGCCATGAATCAGAATCCATTTGAAGGTACTGGTGGTGGTGGTGATATGGTGTGTACGTGGATAAAAAGAGGCACACATTAGAAAGTTTAACACTATTATTTGCTTAAAATTGGTGGTACACATAATTAGAGGCTTGCTAGAGCTGAAAGCTTTTCTCTGTTTAAACTTTAAACTACTAGTTTGTATAGCTTAATTTAGGACTTTTTTGTTTAAGTGACCCAATAAATAAAAATATAAACTGTATCAGAATGTTTGTTGCATTGTCATCTAACACAGGCATATCAAAGCCATGTACATGTCGCTAGATTTTACATAAGTGTGGTGGTTATGTTTTTGTGTCAACTTGGCTGGGCCTGATTGAGTGTCTGGGCAGCTGGATGTAGTATTCCCCATGATGAAAGTGGTAATCAACTCCATGGTGGAATGTACTGAGAGCAGCTGAGTAGCTGCCTTAGGGAATGTGATCTGCTTCCTGTATTTAAGCAGAAGCCTTAAATACAGGAAGTCTCTAGCCTATGGCACACGTGGACGCTGCATGTAGCCATGTCGTTGCTCAGCAGCCTGCTATGTTCTGCTGACCTTGGGACTTACAGTGGACTTAAGTTAATGGCCTGCCGTGTGGATTGGTAACATCGGGACTGTGCCTTTTTACTTGTCAACCTTGGGGCTTCTCAGCCTCAGCAGCTAACAGCTGTCTGAGTGAAGAAATGCTTCTAGCTCCAGTGGGCCAGGAGCAGGAGGTCGAGCTAGACCCCAAGGTTGAGGGGCTTTCACCCAGCCCCTAGAGCCTGGCACTTTGAACGTGGACTTAAAGCCTCCAAATTGTAAGAATAAACTCCTGTTTGTTAAGGCCATCCCATTTGTGGTATATTTCTTGTCAGAGTGGCACTAGGTAACCAGAACAATAAGCCTCAGTCTGTACTTGGTTATGGATTAAAAGATAATATGGTTCGATAAATGATATATTCCCAAACCCAAGTTAAGAAGGGATCTGAACATTTGGAAGGTTGTCTCCAGCACCCAACTACAAAACCTGGCCTGCCCCAAGGTTATGTGGTGTCGTGGGCTGATTGCAAGAGCCAAGCTAGCCTTCAGTAGAGAGCAGACAGGTCCCAGGGGTCATCTTTAATGGAACTCCGTCTTTAGGCAGGTCCTCAGGGCCCAGCCAACCTTGCAGACAGGCTGCACTCACATGTACTATGCCTGCATTCTCTTAGGCAGTTAAGGAATAATTTGTTACACAGCTTTCATTTGGGACTAGTAAAGATGCCAATAAGGAGCTATGGTGGTTCAGTGATTAAGGCATTCAGTTGCTTACCAAAAAGCTTAGTGGTTCAAGCCCACCAACCACTAAGGGAGAAAGATGAGGCACTCTGCTTCCATAAAGATTTACAGCCTTGGAAACCCTATGAGGAAATTCTGTTCTGTCATAATGGGTGGCTGTGAGTTAGAATTGACTCAATGGCAAGTGGGTTATTGGTTTTTTAAAGATACCATTATGTGGAGCTCCAGATTTCACATTTAAGAAAGATTAACTAGTTCTGATTGAAAGTAATTCTTCAGAACTTTGTTCAGAAAAGCTTTGCAGCAGCAATATTTGTTGTAACTTGTAGGGTTCCCTCTCCTAAATTTCCTTGATAAAGGGTGGGAGAAGGGGGTATGGGTGTCAGTAAGCTGTGCTGAGGTTGCTCAAAGGCTGTATGTGTTTCCTGAGACAGACCTAGGTCAAAGCTCACAAAACAATATAGACCATAGTTGACCCTGAAGGTTCTAAGTACCACCTCTTAATTACATTTCAGTTCTCTTCCTCAAGACTTACAGAGACTCACCAGCAGTGTCATACCTCCTGTTTCCAGTAACAAGAAGGCTAAGCAAGTCTGAGCAGAGAGTACAGGGTAAAGGGGTGCTAATGCTAGTGTGGTTGTGACTCCCCGGGCAGGGTTACAGAAGATCCATGAAATATGAGCTGGCCCTTCTCCCAATGTCAAGTAGAAATTTTAGCAAGTACTTGGCAAATCGGATTGAAACCCTATAGGGTAGTTCTACTCTGTCTTAAAGGGTCACCATGAGTCAGAATTGACTAGATGGCAGTGGGTTTGATTTGGCTTGGCAAATCTGACTGACGAATAGTCATTTTAAACCTACGAGGGCAAAGGGGGAAATCTATTTTTCTATCCTCATTTTTGTACCATTTCATTAGCTCTCTTCATATGGAGAGAAGTTCAAAGAACCAAGAACCAAATACCTCACTCACTGCCGTCGAGTTGATTCAACTCAGCAACCCCTCCTTGGATTTCTGAGGCGGTGTTACTACAGAAGTTGATAGCCCAGTCTTCCTTCCGAGGAGTGGCTGATGGGTTTGAACCGCCAGCTTTCTGGTTAGCAGTCAAATGCCTTAGGTACTACACCATCAAAAATTAAAAATGTAACATAATTCCACTCGTAAAAATGCAGATCCACACATGGAAATCAAGTATGTCCAATTATGGCAAAGTGTAAGAAAAAAAATAAAACAGTCCCCAAAACAGCAAAGTCATCAGCTGCCAGTAAACTAACTGAGCAGTAAGTTAGGTTCTCACTGCTCTGTGCTATGCCAGGCAATAGGAAGGCTATTTCCAGATCTGTGCTTCTATTCCTTGAGCCCTGAAGGGGAAGGTGGTAATCCTTGGATTTGCAAATGCACCAGAATTTTGGATTATATTTTAAGCATGTCTTTAAGGAAGAGGTAAATAGAGTGCCTGATCTGAAAGTCTAGCTCAAGGTAATTCTGAGTGTAGAACACAGCTAAGAACTGAGTTGTGAGATGGGCAGGATCACTAAGGAGCCTCATTCCAAGGAGAAAGCTTCCTGGCAACTAAATATGCTCATGGAGGATGTATAGCCTGCTGAGGGGAGTGACAGAAACACAGTTCCTTGGGACATACAAATAAAGCCTGCACCAAATTTAGAAAGAAAGCTGAAATGTTCCTTGTCTTGTAGGCAAATCAGGCCATACTCACTACTTAAATGGACCAAATGACATGAAGAAATCTAGGATTTTAGAATTGGAGAAAGATATGCTATTAGCCAGTGCAGTTTGAAACATTTCAGTTGAGGAAGCTGAGTCCCAAGGCCGTGGAGCTCATGTTGGACTGGTCTGTGAGTGTCTGAGTCCTGCACACTCTTGCATCCTCCACGCCTAGCTTTTCAGAGACCCTGTGCACCAGTCTTCTACCCCCGCATGCTCACATTTGATAGCCAGTGTAGACACTATAAGTTGTTTCTCTTGGTTGAAAGCTACCCATTTGTTTTAAAATACACTTATTTTTTTTGATCCTCATGTTGTTGTTGTTATGTGCCGTCGATCCTCATAGCAGCCCCCAAATCCACTGCCATTAAGTTGATTCATACTCATTGTGACCCTATAAGATAGAGTAGAACTGCCCCTTAGGGTTTCCAAGGCTGTAAATCTTTACTGAAACAGACTGCCTCATCTTTCTCCTGCAGAATGGCTGGTGGGTTCAAACCACTGACCTTTTGGTTAGCAGCTGAATGCTTTAACTACTATACCACCAGAATTCTTCCAAAGCAGCCCAGGGAGGTAGATGTTGTTACCCCTATCTTAGACACAGTTCAGATCTCAGAAAGACTAGCTAACTGTCCAAAGTCACACAGCTAATCTATAAGGACCTGTAGTATAGACCAAGACTCAAAAACTTGAACCTCACACTCTGATCCTGGCTGGAAACTCCTTCTTTAATGGCAGAGAGCCAGATACTTTGACAGGGCCCTTGGGCAGCCAAAGCATCTTTCTAGGAGAGGCGTATCTTAGAAGGCAGCCCCATCTCTGGCAGGGTTCTTGAATGGGTCTTGGGGTACAGAAAATTGCCTCAAAATATGAGCTGGGGGTGTGGCAGTAGATGGAGAGGGAGGCAGGAGAGATTGGTGGCAATGCTGTCTATAATTCTAGAGAAAGCTTTGAACTTCAGAATCTCAGACTCTAATCCCTTCTGCTTTAATTTTCAGAAATCATGAGGTCCAATGGCTTTTGTTTAGCAAACACAGAAACAATTGTAATTGACCACAGTATACCAAATGGAAAGGACCAACACCTGGATGTGGACTCAACAGAGCATCTGTAAGTATAGTGTTTGAATACCCACCTACATCAGAGGGCCCTTGGTACTGGTATGATAGCAGCTGGGATTGCTGTACACAGGAGCTCAGAGCTCATGGTCTGGAGGAAGGAAGTAGATGTGGCCATAACTTTGAGCATCCTTACCCACATTTGGATTTCATTTGATGTGTTCACTTTTCCTGGTTCATCAACTTCTTGAAGTGGAGTCCTTTGCCCAAGTAGCTTGCTTTGAGGAGGCCTGTGAGAGGTGTTACGAGGTCCTAGGGTCTGGCTCACACTGGGTCAAGGGCACATTGTCACTGTGTCCAGGCCCAAGCCAGCCAAGGGGAGGCCAGGCTTCTAAGCTCCAGGCCTTCCCTGGCTGGAGAGAAGTGGCACATGGATGGTGGTCCTCATATGGTTGACAGTGGAGGAGGGGTCCAGCAAGGCCAGCCCTGCTCTGAGAGGGATGATGAGCCTGATGAAGGCAACTGAGTAGCCAAAGATGCCATATCTTCTCTGCTCCTACACTAGTCACAGGGGTTTTAGTCATAACTCATGCCTGCTCCAAGAAGGCACCAGCTGCCACCCCCAGGATGCCTTTCAGACCATCTCCTCAGCGCTTTGTCAGGGTAGCCAAGTTCTCAGGCTAAAGAAGGGGGTCATAGCCTGGCTCCTGTGCTGTCTAGTCCCCAACATCACAGAGTAAAAGCAATGTGCGGACAGAAATATGCTGACGCCCACATCTGACCCCATGTGTGCTGGGCCTGCCCCATCAGGAATGCCCTCCAGGATAGGACTGCACTTGCTGGGCTATGCAGTGGTGTCTGGTGGGGAGACAATGCAGGGTACTGGCAACAGAGAAGTCAGTTCATGGTGGTGTGAAGGGAAGATGTTGGGAGGGGCAGGAGGTGGTCTCCCCTGGATCACCAGAGCCCTTGGCAAACTTTGCCATGGCACCACCAGCATGATGTCCTTGATTTAGGATTTTGAGGCCAGGGGGATATGTATGTCTGTCAGTGTCATTAATGGTTCACTACCTGTGGGGTTGGTGCTACACAGTGCTGGCTTTGTGCAGGCATAAGGTTAGTGAATGGAGGAGTCCTTGGGCTTTCGGGGAGTAGTTACCACCTCTGCCTGTCTTGGTGTAGAAGACTGATGGAGATGGTCCCTGTCACCAGGTACTGCTAGAGACCCCATCTGATTCCACAGCATTCCCTGGAGCTCTTTTCTGTTTTTAGGGGGACAAGGCCAGGTTTCAGAAGTAAGTTCAGTTGTGAGTGGTATTGAGCTATGGAGAAGCATAGGGAGAAGAAAGCCGTGGCAGTTGGGACACTCCCACTGACGCTGGCCTTTGCCGATGGGAAATGCTGTACCAACACGTAGCCTGCTATTCTGGGACACCAACCAGCAGCAAAAGATGAGCAGGGAGAGTTTCTGTGATCCCAGAAACATGTCAAAAAGGAGCACCTACCTCCAGGTGGCTGGAGGAGCTCAAGGGATTCTTGACCTGGGCTTGCAAAATGCAGGCCCTGTTTCTGCCCAGGTGTTCCATCCAGGGCAACATGTCAAGCTGGTCTGGCAGCTGCACTGCACCTTAGGAGCAATCTGTTTGGGACACTCTGAAGCTGTCAGGCAGGTGAGGGAATGAGGAAGGTTAGTGTTGGAGAATTGACACTGGAGTAATGAGGCTGCACATTCCAGGCTGCAGCTGTCCCTGGTGGCCCTGGAGCATGACCAGGCAGCCCTAGTCAATTATGTGGTGTCAGGCCTTGTGTGATAGGGTCTGCACAGGCAGTTCTGCCGTCATGGAGGGTGAGTGCCAGTGCCCACACATAGGACCTACTGCATTCAGGAGGTGAGCAAACCCTGGTGGAGATGTCAGTCGGCTGTCTGGGTTCTGAATGGAGTTCTAGTGGCCTAAGGTACTGCCAGACAGGAAAGTTGGCCACCCTGACCTTACTCTCACACACACCCAAGCCAAGGGAGGGCTGACAGGGACCTCAGGACCTGTCATTTCCCTGAGCACCCCAGCTTCCCCTTCCCACCTTACCATCTTGTCGTCTGTGAATCAGGGCCTCAGAGCAGGGTTATGCTTCCCTGTGTATCCATGATTTGCCCTCTTGTTTCTTCTTGACATTGGTTTTAGGAAGAGCTTGAAGGACCCTAAAAATAAAAAAGCTGTTGGAATGTTGGCCTCATCCACAAGAGATGTGATGCCTCAAAAGATGACTGCAGTTTTCTGTCCACATTAGCACACTTCCTGCAGCAGCCTGGGTCCCTGGAGGGTTGAGCAGCCTCAGACACTGTTCCTCACTGTGGAATCAAAAGGGAAATCCATTGTATGGCACTTTGTATTCAAATACTTTAATACTATAATCACCTCCTTTTCTATGTTTAATTTTCTACTTCATCTCTAAGCAAGCACTGTTTGAAATCAATCAGATTCCAGCACAGTGTACTTGGTATGCAAGGGCAGGATCCACCCCTCTTATTCCAGTCAATTCATGTGGTCACTCTGAGCTATTCAGGAAGATTAGGGTATCCACAGATGTCTGCTGGTTGGTGATGTCTTCAGGTGTTGGGGAAAGACACAAAGGGAAGGGCAATGTGGGTGGTAGGCTTGAAGGACCCTGCCCCACTCCCCTGACGGCCAAAGGAGGCAGCCTACTTCTACCCTCTCACCACACTCTGCTTGGTTTGGACTGAGTTGAGTCTCAGGTTAAGGAAAATAGAAGTACAAGCTGCACGTCACAGCTCCCTTCTTGGGGGAGTGTCCTTCATAGTTGTGAATTTTTTTAATTTTTTTTTTTTTTTCCTGGCATTTAACTACTAACCAGAATGCTGGTGGTTCAAACCCATCAGCCTCTCCTTTGAAGGGAGACTGGGCAATCTACTTCTGTAGAGATACTGCCTCGGAAACCCAAGGAGGGGTCATTATGAGTCGGAACCAACTTGACAGCAGTGACTTTGTTCCCCCCGCCGCCCCCCTTGGCATAGGAGGCCACATGTGGATTGGATGGGAAGTGGCAATGGTTTCAGTTCATGGGTGAATCGATACCAGGAATGTATCTATGTCACCTTATATTTTGGGCACATATTCTTCTGTCATTTCCCCCACCCTATATTTGAGTACTTTTCATCCTTCTGAGCCTGAATCAAACACCAGCCCAACTGTGAAGGCCTCTCTCCATGAGCACTCACTACCTTGGCTGGCTCCTCTGTGACCCACCTGCTTTCCGGTGGCCCTAGTCATGGTGCACAGGTCTCAAGTATGCAGTTAGGCTGTGAGTAACATGACTACAGCAGCTACTTCTTCATCCTTATTCCTGTCTGCGGTCCCTGGCTCTTGGGAGACACCTGTGCCCTGGGGACAGGCCCTGCCTCTTGGGTTCAGGCTGTGTTCCCAGAGCCCTGGACAGTGCTTGGCACAGAGTAATCCCCTAGAAAGAGAAAATAATCACACCATCAGTGAATGAGTGAATGAATGGAGACCTCAATAAATATTGATTGAATGAAAGAATATAGACAGCAGTTTCTGAAACAGAAAAAGCGGAGCTGTAAGTTTTTACAGTAGGATTTGTTTCAAGTAATTAATTTATGGCCATGGCTGTTTCCACACTTTCTGAACATTCACTGAAAGATCATTGTCCATTGGTCCAGCAAAAGATGTACATTCTGAAAGATGTCGTAGAAAGCCTCTCCAAGTGTTTGCAGTGGGTTCCTGAGTGTCCTACAGCTGAACTTATGCCCTTTCTCCCCACTTCACAGGGGTTCATGAACTGGCCCTCACTATACTTTCCTCATTTCAGGTTTGAGAATGGCAGTGAGTTTACCTCAGAGCTGGAGGATGGCGATGACCCTGCAGCCTATGTCACCAACCTGTCCTATTACCATCTGGTCCCCTTTGAGACAGACATTCTGGACTGAGCATTCATTGTCACCTTCACCCCACCTCAGGCCTTTATTGCTGATCTTCTGCTGTCCCTCCATGCTGGACATCAAGGGCCAAAAGTGCCCCACCCAACCATGGGTCAGAGATGATGCCTTTGTTGCCCCAGGTGGGGCTCTGTTCTTCAGTGCCACCAGGTATCACCCAGGCACACACTCAGCGGGGATGGGAGATGAGAGCATGGTGTCCTGTGAGAGGATGCACGGGACTCCTGGTTATCAATGGCTGATAGTAGACTCCAATCACCAGGAGCCCTAGACATGGGACATCCATGCTGCCTGCTGCTTTGGAGGGGTTTTTTTCTCAGCACCACCAGTCTGTTTTTTTCTGGGGACCTGCTGCATGTACTCACTCCCTACTGCAGCCAGTGCGCACAGGAGCATACCTGCTGCAGGCAGGCCTCCATGGCTGTGCCGACTTTATACTTTTGTTGTCATTCCTTCTTCAAGAGGAGCAGGGCTGGCCTCCATTCACTCACATTTCAAGTGCACAAAACACTTCTAGGAAGATTTTCATGCCTTGCCAAGCTCCGGACATCATAGCCAGGGAATACTAAGTAATCCAGGACTTCCCTGGGAACTGGGGTTTGTGGCTCTCATTTTTGTTTTTCCTCTTTTGTCTGGAAACTGGGCTTTGTGTCAGCCTGAAGGCGTGTTTACAGATGGCTAATCACTAGTGAGAGTACAGTCTATAGGGAGAAAGATCATTGATGATGGGGTGCCCACATTGGCTTGGACTGAGAATTAATGATGCTCTTTATGAGAGTGAGTCCAAAGGAAAAGAGTTTCTTCTGGCCTCACAGCATCTTCTCATCCTTCATTGTGGAGGAGTGGGTCTGCCCCCACCTCCCAGCCATCTGATGTTCACCTCTGTACTGTTTACTTAAGGTATTCAGTGAAGCCAGTGCTGTAATTAGTCTGAAAGGACAGGAGTCAATTCCCTTTTGCCCACAGTGAGGTGCTGAGTTCTTTGGGCTGCTTTTCTCACAGTGTCTACTAACAACTGATGCTTGCTTATGTAAATAATCATAAATTATTGAGAATCCTAATTCTTACACAGTCTGTTTTTTAACCTATTTTAATTAAATAAAATATATTACTCATAAATTTAAGGTGTGAGTACATACAGTTTTTTTTGTTCCCCACCCAGGAAGGGGCTGGAAGCCTCATGCAGCCTTCTTAGTGCTGGCTCTTAGCACTCTTCTTCTTGTGTTGGTTTTTTTTTAGGAAATGTGTTATGTTCTCACCCTAGGGCATGGTCTGTCCAAATTGAAAAAGGAGCAAGGAGCAAGCATTGTTTTTTTGCATTAGAGATTTCTCCTTCTCCATTTTCCTCTTTGGCAACCTCAGGAAGCCTCTTTGACCAGCTGCAAAGCATATGGAATGTCTGCTGATTTTGCATTTCCTTCCTGCCTTCCAGCTGTGTCCAGTGCAATGCATCCTGCTTTCAAATAAGCTGTTAGGTGACTGACTGGAGTTGACCAGTTGCCTTTCTTCTCTTGAAAAATAAAATTCAGTTTTGTACTAGGACAGGGCTTACTGCCTAACATTAGAATCAATCAACATGTTTAGTTAGTGACCATCCAGCTGTCAATTACTGCCTCATGGATTATCCTCAGGACCCATGGACCACAGAGGTGCCTCTCCCAAGCTGTTCAGCCACTGTACAGTGTGAAGGCCACTTCTGCAGCTTGTTCACCTACTCGAACTATTACCCAGCAAGACATATGGTTGGCTTCTCAATACCCCTGTCAGTTTTCACTCAGGAAGCTTCACTGTTTACTATCAATGCACAACGAGGTCTCTAAAGTATGTCTGGATATTTGTGTTCCTCTTAAATAAATCATACCATTCCCTGGCTTCCATTTTTTTTTTTTTATTATGGAAAAATATGACCCTCTAGGTCCATTCTTCATTATCCCCCATGTGAAATAGACAGATATAGCTTTGTTTTTTATAAGAAAAACTGTAGATGTTCAAGTGCAGTGATACATGGTAACTAGCACTCAGCCTCAGCATGGAAGGGCAATATAGACTGGTGGGGGCTGTGGCAAACTGGAGAGTGCATGTATTGTGTAAGGGACCCGTTATTCAGCTTCAGCCAATTGTTTTGCCAGGAACTGTGGGCCCAGTTTTTAATCAAAGCTAGAAATCTGGCTTTCTATGAAATATCCCGATTTTTAAGTTTTGGAAAAACAAAAAACAGTAACAACAAGAAACTTGATCAAATAGAGGCCACATGAGTTTTCAGCCTCAACTCTGAACAGTCAAGAGAATCAACACTAAAAGCTTTAAGTTCAATGTGAATGTTCCACTTTTGCCCACATGTTGCTCTAGAAACTGCTTGAGCACAAGCTTCTCACCTTGTTTACTCTGTGATCATGTCTCTCACACTGCTCTGAGAGCCAAGAGATGTTTGGCAGTGGTGGCTAAGACATGCCTCCTTATTACTTACACCTGTGAGGTAAGTGCTGTCAGGAACTTAGTTTACTGCATTAGATCAGCTCTGATAAAGTGGGTGCAATTTAAAAAATTTTTTGGCAAATTGAATTATTTTAAGGTGTTTAAGGGTGGTTCCCTGTTTAAAAGGAATGTCTAGCAAATGCTATTTTTAAGCTGAAGATTCCTCACCTCTGTTTTGTAAATAAATGCTGGATTTCATGTATGAGGCTTGTTTAATATAAAAAATGCAAAATGTGAACACTAACCAGGCCTCCCGCCCCAACTCCTCCCACAGAACTGGCACTTCTCCCAGGCTTGTCCATATTGTGGGAGAGCAGACAGCAAAGCTCCCTGGTAATTGGGCAGGCATGTGAGCTCATTAATAGATGTGCAATTCTCATGAGTATTGCACTTACTAACAGAAGTATATGCTGGGTGTTGGGAGCCAAATGGCCCTGAGCAGCATGTCCTAACCTTTGCCAATTCCTCCTCCTGAGAATAGAACACTTTCTTGGCCTTCACTTAAGACATTCTATCAAATTACAAGCACTTTTATTGCAACTGAAGTTTCTGTCCCACATCAACTGTGCCAATGTAACTTCTGCAGAGCAGTATTCTAACTCTACTAATCCTTGTTGACACTCAGACTATTAAAGGATTTGGTTTTATCCCCAGCTAGGGGCTTACAGAAAACCTAAAATGTGGCATGTCCATGTGCCTTAAATCAAAATACCTTTTAACAGGAGCAAGGTTCCATGTAAATACATGTTGTGTGCCATTAAGTTGATGCTGACTCATAGTTACCCTATAGGACAGAGCAGAACTGTCTCATAGGGTTTCCTAGGCTATAATCTTTATAGAAGCATATCACCAGGCCTTTTCTTTTGCAGAACAGCTGATAGGTTTGAACTGCCAACCTTTTGATTACCAGCTGAGCACTTAACCATTGCACCACCAGGGCTCCTTCCATGTAGATATAGATGTTACTTTTCTTATATCTTATTTGAACAGTCCCAAACATTAAAAACAATATAAGAAGTTTTCAGCACAAAGCATCACTCCCATTCAAACTCTATCTTATGCCCCCGACATTGGTTTCTACTGTATCCTTGCAGTGTTTATGCAAATATGAGCATATACTCTTTAAACAATAAGGCAATCTTTCTGTAGTCTATATATTTTAGCATTTGTGTTCAATAATGTATCTTCATGCCATCTCTCTCCTTATGTGCATGTATATATACTGTATAACACTTCAGAAATGGGTGACCTGCTCAAACTTGTTAAGTTTTAACCCCGCCATTGAGTCGATTCTGATTCATAGCAACCCTATAGGACAGAGTAGAACTGCCCCGTAGGGTTTTCAAGGCTGTAAATCTTTATGGAAGCAGATTACCTCATCTTTCTCCTCCAGAGCTGTTGGTGGGTTCAAACCACCAATATTTTGGTTAGCAGGTGAATGCTTTAACCACTATGCCACCAGAGTACCTTTTTAAATTTTATTTCTAACCAAAAAGCATGAATGACTGAATGGCTGGGTTGATGTGTGATGCATCTTAGATATGCTTAATTTTATTAGACTTTTGAGCAAAGCGTTAGAATGTCTATTATTTTTTTCTTGTCTATTTCAAGGGTGAGATGTGGATGGGGTAGTGGAGGGTCAATGGCTAAGGACAGGAAGTTTGCCACAAGTTAGGCCATGTTCCTAGTCTTACAGATAGTAAATTCTGAGAGCAGGTGTCTCTCCTGTGGACACACTCATATTAAACAATCTCAAGGCAGATGTCCAAACACCGTACTGCCTGCCTGTTCATTTATTTACAATTGAAACAACTGACCCAGAAACTAAAACACTTTAAAATTCTGAGGCCAATGCATCCACTCCCTACAAGTAAGGAAAGTAGAATGTTGTCTGGTGCCATCAAGTCAACTCCAACTTGTAGCAAACCTTTGTACAACAGAATGAAATACTGCCCAGTCTTGTGCCATCCTTACAATCTTTGCTATGCTTGAGCCCATCCATCATTGCAACCACTGTGTCAATCCACCTCGTTGAGGGTCTTCTGACTCTCTACTTTACCAAGCATAATATCCTTCTTCAGGGACTGGTCCTTTCTGACAATATGATGAAAGTATGTAATATGAAATCTGGCCATTCTCACTTCTAAGGAAACTTCCAGCTGTATATCTTCTAAGACAGATTTGTTCATTGTTCTGGCAGTCCATGGTATTTTTAGTATTCTTTGCCAGCACCACAATTCAAAGACATCGATTTTTCTTCAGTCTTTCTTATTCATTGTCCAGCTTTCACATGCATATGAGGCGATTGAAAATACCATGGCTTGGGTCAGGTGCACCTTTGTCTTCAAAGTGACATTGTTTGCTCCTCCTTAACACTTTAAAGTGGTCTTTGACAGCAAATTTGCCCAGTGCAATATATGTCTGATTTCCTGACTGCTGCTTCCATAGGTGTTGACTATGGATCCAAGTAAAATGAAATCACTGACAACTTCATTCGTTTCTCCATTTATCATAAT